TCCAACAACGATTGCAAGACCTAGGATGTATGTACTCTCTCCATCCTCGAAGATCTCTCGGTCCCACAAAAGTGTCATTCTCATTTTCTGAGAGTTAAATATCTTCAATTTTAACCAAATATACATAATAGATTATTAATATTTATGGTGCATAACAAGTATATTAGATTAGTTGTTAAATATATTTTTTTAATATTTTTCTAGAGATATAAAGTTTTCTAATATTTTCTACAAATATAGTCCAACTTTATACATGCACAAAATCCCAGGCTGTTCTTTTTGGGATGAAAGGAGTCCACGAAGGTAGAAAGGCTATTGTTGTTATTCTAAAAAAAAAGCTATTGTTATCTCCTGACGGGGTTTCTCTCAGACTATGGGCCACCGGGAGCTCGATCTAACTCATTTGTTTTGCACTATTCATATATCTTAGATGTTCTGCTAAAAAAATACTCAAAAATATATATCTTAGATGTGTGATTTTTTTTATTGTTGTTCAGACGACATGCACTTTTGTCATTATTTGGTTATAGAAAAAATGTAAATTGTATCTTGTGAGTTATTTTTTTAGTTGTACTATTTGTTTGCTTAAGATTATTGTTTGAAATTTTTTAAAAAATCAAGCACTTGAAATATAGCAACTCCCGTGTTACGATACATTGATATGAGTTGGTAATAATAAATTGTATATACTAAAAATGGTTACAACACCATACATACGAATACTGCTAAGCCAGGAGACTTCAGTCATGCTTTACCTTTTCTTTAACTAAAAACATGCTTTATTACCCATACGAGTTCGCACACATGTAAACCATCCTTAAGTGATAGAATCAAATAACACAGGACTATAAGAATGTAGATATAGGCAAAAGAATTATATAATATCGATGGGAATTTTCGTGTCCTAAACCGGTAAATCGTTACAGTGGTCGGAAAAGTACAATATTCTTTTGAAAGATAGAAAATTTCAGCTTCTATTTTCATTTTTATCTTTCAAAAAAAGTACAATAAAACACCAAGGCGTATGTAGTAATATTCTTTTTACACTTTCATCCCTAGTTTTGAGTGCTTTCACCAGCATTAATGAAGCAGTTTCTAGGATCATCCTTTTCTTATATGCCACTAGTAAAGTGTTCGTGCTAACGCCACGACTTTATTCGAGGGATACACGTAAAAACAACCAAACTCCGGTGGTATTTCGTGATATAAATAGAGTACAACAAGAATTAATAAATAGAGTACAACAAGAATTAAGAGAGATTCCAATTCATTGCATCATTTTCAATATATTATAGAAATAGTATAGTGCCCGTGTTACGCTACGGTAAAAACCTAAAAATAGTATTTTTCTATGCACATAATTATTTGTATCACTGGCGTATTCACGTCATTGCAAATAATTATCATTTGTATAGTTATTTTCCTTGTCTCTATACCCCATGCTTGCAAAAACTGCTGAAAACACTCATCACATCTACACTATTACACATCTCGGTGCGGTGGGTTCTGCGCTCGGTGCCATGAGTTTTGCTCGCGGGTGGAGGTGCCGCAGCAACAGAGACGTGTGGCTCCGAGGGGCCGACGCTGCTCTGCAAGGCCACAATCACGACGGCCCCGGCGCTGCATCCCCGCATCAGCTGCGACGCTCGCAGCCGGCAGCTGTGATGCGGGGCTCCACGGCGTGGCCATCCTCAGAAGCGAGCCACGGCGAGGCTCAAGCTAGCAAAAAAATTATACTTTGAGCACGACATTCGCAGCACTCCGTTTGTAACCAATCATCAATATTACATGAGTTTTCACAAAGCATAAACAATTAGAATATAAAATTCAAGTTTTGATGTGATAAATATAAATGTCAGACGGTTCAACTGCATCTGCAGATCCCCACATTTTTCTAAACACTGCAGTCGCATCTTCAAATCTCCAAGCAATTCCCATATTTCCCTAAACACTGCAGTTCCATCTTCAAATCTCCGAGCAGCACAATATGCGTCATTAACCATCACCCTGAAGCTTCTCAAATTCCCGGCAAGTAATAAGCTAATGGAATTGACTGACCTGGATGCCACTGGGCGAGATATTCCTAAGGCCTTGTTTGGATGTAGTTGGATCCTTATGAATCCACATATGTTGGGGTGGATAGGAGTGGCATGTGGATTAAGTTGAATCCGATAACATCCAAACAAGGCCTAACTCAGTTTTTGAATAAACCAAAATTTATCTGCAGAGCAGTCAACACCGCAGACACGAGATATGTACCTTGCCTAACTCAATTTTTGAATATCTGTTTATCTTGCCTTGCTGTTTCTCATAATGTTAGGAGAAAACAAAACTTATAAAGGATCACTTAAAGAAGGTTATGTCAGAGTATGGAAAAGTCCAACATGGAAACATAACTGTGTATGGTACTGATACAACATGGAAACATAACTGTGTATGGTACGGATAGTATCAAATATCAATATCAATTTTTATGCTTAAAGCATTCAACCCATATGTGAAAGAAATTTGAAACATAAAGTAGTTGAACAAATAAATACCTAGCAAACCATCATAGACATAGTCTGAACTCTAAACACTGATGGTCTTCTAGTTTGGAAGAATATTACATCTCTTAAAATTATAGAAATGCAAGTTGTAATATTCTACAGAAAACATTTCCATCTTACGCAAAGTTAAAAGGAAAAAGTGAACATGCGAAATGCATGCTGCTTTGTAGAAACAACTATAGTATTTAGTGGAGTAAATTTCGGGCAAAGAACATATCGTGCCCCAGGTTTGCCTGGATCAACACCTTGCTATCATCCTCCAACAGACTAAACCTCTGCTTGTTATTTATTTGACTGACTGCACACAATAAAACACAAATTTTCTCATCTAACTGAATAGTATACTGCCCGTGCTAACACCACGGTGACATTTTAGATGATGCAAAGTAACAACCAAACGCGGTCTAAAATAAGATAGATTCAAGATTCATAGAAAAAGGAGCAATTCAAACTTATAGGATTATTATATTATTTCATGAGAAATCTCATGCGGTGTAATAGGAAATCTCATGTGAAATATTTATAGACACCTAATTTTCGGTTTTAATCACTTTCTTGTGGCTTCTGCTCCTTCCCAGGTCAACACCGAGTACTTCAACTCGAACGCCTGCAAGTACACCAGAACATGAAAAAAAAAGATGGTTAAGATAGGAGCACATAAGAAATTGCTGAAAAAACCATCTAAATCATCCAATCCCCTACCAAATTTTAGGTACCCAGCGCCACACTTGTTGGAGGGCACAATACATATGCTGCAAAATCTGTACGTCAAATATATGATATAAGCTTCTAACCAGGATTGTATTTACTCAAATTTCATCAAGATTGAGCTTTTTTTACCAAAATTTTAACAATCAAACCTCATTAAATATACAGAACTTCTCTAAGAGAAATAGTGTGAAAGGAAACAATTAATATTTTTGTGCAACAGTAATGCAGTGAATATGAAAAGAAACCGGGAATGATAATGGATGCATTGCTAGTTCCTTACCTTCCTACGGTGTGTTTCGATGTCTATAAGGATTCTTTCCCTCACAGCTAGTTTTTTCCATTAAGAACAAGAATGCAAGAGGAGATAGCATCTGCATCTATGGATCTACCTACACAAGAAGGGAAAAATTAACTTGCGCCATGAATAGTTTGAAATTATTAATGGTGCCTCTTGTAGCATTTCCTTTGCATCTCACAATATTGGGCGCATTCAGTTGCACATGTATTATGTATAAGAATATAAAAATTATAGTACCTATAAAAATTATAGTACCTTTGGGTAGCATTGAACGCTATGGCCATGTTAGACGCCACAAAAAAATTAATCTCTAGAAATAGTTCTAATAATAAAAATATAGGTTAATTTCTGGATTATATTGACATGTTGTTTATGAGCATTTGTTTTTTCGTGGAAGTCATCAATGGGGGACCACCACCATTTGGTTTTCTCGTGTAAGTCATTTCAGAGCATAAGGGACACCAACCACAAGTACACAACTGCACTTATTAAACTCACAATTTGAAACATATGACGATGGGTTCAGCAACAGAGTAACCAATTCTATTTATGGATTTAAAATAATGACAGCTGGCAAAACAAATACCTGGTCTGTAAATGCGAAAGAGTTCCGTTGTTCCGTTGCAATGGAGGCGACAATGCTCTATCGGTGGTGATCTGCCACTATTTCCTCTTCCCTGTGATATATGTGCAGTGATATAGCTCATATGAGAACTTAGCTAAGATACCGTTAATATAATGGGGCTCTTCTGTTTGGACGCTTGTTTTTTTCCGAAATTGTGATTTTGCCCCTATTTTTTTGATTTTATGAATTTACCCCTACTGTGTCGTTCACGAAGCACCAGTTTGCCCCTGCTCCGTCATCCACCCCTAACGGTGTCAAACTTTGTACAAAAGGACATGAATGCCCATGCGATTTTGCCCCTGTTTGTTATACCTAATTATGATTTTACCCTAATTTGGAATTATATTTTTTTATTATATACTGACAATTGATTAAATTTGGTCAAACATATTTGGCACAACTTGCAATTATTTGAACTCAGATTTAATATTGATAAATATTCAAAATTTTAGGACCAAAAGGTTCATAATGATGACAAATGTAACGCCATGAGAAATATTTCGATATAATCTTTTGTGTGGGACCAAAAATCTTCAATGTATAAGAATACATGTAGAACATCGGTTAACAAACTGTATAAGTAGATGCATGCACTGATAAACTTAGTGCCTTACCACATAGGAATGTCATACAGTACATGTTTTTTCAGCAAAAGTATTCAGCAAAAGTAACCGCCATACAAGTTGGTTCATGTAACACTACATGCACTAAAACTACAACATGTATTTACTAACCAAATTAGAAAAGAGAATGACATGAATAAAAAGACAATTGTGAATCATCATGATCGACCATAGCAGTATTTACTACAGAAACGCTACGGCTCCGGGTCGTAGGCAGCACCAGCACGACCGCCGAGTCGGCAGCGCCATCCGAACGCGACGCCTCCACCTTCCTCTGCTTCTGCAGTATTGGAAATGAGTGTGGTTGAAAAGTGTACGCCCTAGGAAAATATTGAGCACCATGAAACTTACCCATCGAGATAGGAAATGGTCGTACATGGTCAAAAGGCCAAGTCTAAACACGGGTTCTGTTGCATAAACTGGTGCAGAGAGCCCAAGATGTTTCATAGCATAAGGCAAAGCTCCTAGATGCATCATGTCAGGATGTGACAAAAGAACAGCATCTACAGTTGGTGCAACCCTGAAAATATACAGTATCTATTAGTGTAAGTGAAAACTAACAATCAATTTGCTTCGATGATAAATAGCATATTGACACCAATGACATGTACGCATCTGCAGTGATGGAAAGTATCTCCTTTACTCAACTGCTGAGTGTAGATTTTGGAAAGAAAAATGGAGTGCATCCTTGCATCTATAAGATGTGTAAATACAACAAACGGCAGGAAAATGAATGGTGAAATGATTATTCAGTGGGGAGGCAATGCACTGCGATTGGCACGGTGTTACACAAGGAGGCCAAAGTTTGGACAGAAGGAGCTACATGGTTTTATAGCGTCCTCTTACAAGAAACAACAGATATGAGCAAGAGTGTCAATTACACTAGACTGTGCCTTAGGCATAGAAGATGTGGCATAATAGCAGGCCATTCAGCAACAAACATGCATCTAAGCACATAAATGTTTGGATGGACATGGATTTGTGAACATTCACCCTCCAACACGCACACATGAATGCGCATTGCGCAAGCACATCAGTCAAATAATTGAAACAAGATGGAGATAGCATCGGTTGCAGCACAAAAAACCCTAGGACTGGAGAAACCACGAGCTACCCTCCATCTACTCCGTCACGCAGAGGCACCCATCATCAGCCAGAATTTACACCACTCCCTTGATTACTGAACAAATCAATGTTGCGCATTGCATTGGGCCAGCCGTCAACCCATCTGGCCTTGGCCTTGACCAAACTCCCACCCAGAGGCAATTAAATCCGAAAAGGTGTCCTAAAATGTGCGTCCCAAATAGCGAAGCCACTTCCACACAAGTAATCAATCGAATACAAGCTAAGCCGACGAGTCACGAGAGCAAGAAGATGCGTGCTTGGCGAGGGGTTGAAGTTGCGAGGTATCGTGAGGTCCGTCCATCCGCAATCGAGGAGGAAGCCGCCGTCGACGGTGAGCGAGTAGCAGAGGGCCCTCCCCAGACGCCCCCATCGAGAGGCGTCCACCAAAGACCGAAAGTCCCCATTTGATCTCGATAAACCCTTGGCGGCAAAGGTCGGAGGTTCGACAATGAAGGTGGCCGCAGCGAGGATTCCGCCTTAGGGTGAGTGTGTCCAAAGTTGGAACTTCGAACTTCGAGACACCGGCAAGCAATGAACAACCTTAGGGGTGAGGGTGAGGCGGGGCTCGAGAGGAGGAAGAGGAAGCGAAGCCGCCTGTTAATGACGGGCCCTACTCATGAGCCGCTTCGGCAACTCTACCGGGCGAGGCTCCCCCTCCGCTCCGGTGATGGGTGCTTTGTCTTGGCAAGACCGTGCCCGCTCCGACGGCGGCGTGCGTCTTGGTGGGCGATCCAACCCGGGCTGGCGATCCGACACACCGTGTGTCGCGCTTGGTCCCGTCCTTGACCTCGGCGAGCTAAGCGGAGGCGGCGCGGAGACCCACCGCCAGCGCCACCAGAGCCGTGGCGAACACCGCCGGAGCCGCGTCGAGCACCAAAAGCCGCCGCCATTCGCTTGCCCCTGCAGACCACAAAGCCGGCGCCCATAGGAAGAAGACGACCGGTGAAGCGCCATTGACTCTCAGAAAGGACGCCACGGTGAGCGGCAATGGCGCGCGCCGCCGCCACCGCCTGCAAGACACGCACGCCGCCGACCAGCGCCTAGAGGAAGGCCGCGCCCAAGACTTGGAGCCGTGGCCAGGAGGCAGCCCAGCCCTAGAAGCAGCCTCCTCGCGCCCGAACCTAGAGTCGTGGCCTCCCTCCCCTTTGGTGCTTCTGCACCCACATTTGAAAAAAGCCGCGCCCAAGCCCGATGTGAGCGACGACGCCCTATGCGTTTGAGACGAGGAGATAAGGATAAGGGGCACTATGGTCATTTGGCCTTTGTTTTTCAGATTTAGAATTTTTTTAATTCGTTTAATCCATGTCCATCTGACGGACGTAAGAAACAAGGGCAAACGGACCGTTCAATTCAAAATAACAGGGGTAAAACACAAAGTTAAAAAAGGAAGGGTAAAATCACAATTAGCTTACTGGACAAGGGTAAGAACACCATTTTCCCTAATATAATCTATCAATATAATCACACTACCTGAGTTCATTTGAAGATCGAAAAGAACTGGTAAGAGTAGCATCAGATGGAACCGACTGGTGTATGTGTGTTTCTGTTGGGGGAGGAGGACAAGCAAGTCTTACTGGACCCCCAGAACATTTAAAATCTGCTCTTCCAAGATTCCATCTTCACCAAGAACCTAAATAAGTAAGCAGTTCAAATATAATCATTAAGGAAAAAATATATAACAGATCAACACAAAGTCAAAGCATTAGAAACTAACAAAGTGAAATAAAGAAAAGAACCATTGAAACTCCGAGACAATTTCCCACCCAACTGTTGGCGTTGAGGACTTTTGTCGAGCAAGTGGTGTGCGCTATTGGCTGGTCAAGCAGCCGCTTTGCTTACCAGTGACTACCATGGCAGAGTCAGATCCTTGTGTGCTTGCGACGGCCCTACAACTTAAATTCACTCCTGCTGGCAGCTCTGATCTGCATCACGTTGCTTCATGGTGGCGTCCAGCATGCTGCACCGGCCGCATGGTCACCACCATGGTCCGTGCCGTGGCTGCTGGAAGAGGAAATCTAGGTTCGAGAAAAACTGACGAATGGATTGGAGATTCTTGAGCGGGCGGGTTGAGACACATACCATGGTGGAAGCGGTGAGGACGGCGCGTCGTCCATTGTTTTCCACCGCCCAGGCCGCGAAGGCCTCCACCGATGCGCCGTCATCACGTCGGCGCTGCCGGGACTACACGATGATGGCCGCGTCATCAGGAGCCTCCGCCAGGATCCTCCCTGCCGCGTCCTGGCCCTTGGCGGCGTCGCGGGAGGATAGAATGATGTGGAGGCCATGCGGCGCGAGCCGGCGGGCCGCCCCGAAGCCTATCCCGCTTCCCAGGGCGTCCAGCTCGTCGCGGGCGAGGCGCGCGTAGGAGAGCTTCACATCGATGTCGCCCTCCAGCTTGCGCGCCTCCCGCCGCAGCTCCTCCCACCAGGACTTAGTGGACGGAACTCATCTTGGCCGGAGCCTAGGTCGGTGCCGCGGCCTGGTCTGCCGTCACCGTCGAGGCAGGGGCGTCCTCAGATCCGGCCGGCGCCGCGTCCTCGGTGGGGTGGCGAGATCCTGACTATCGCCGCTACCAGCGGCTGGGTCCCTCTCCCCATCCGCGGCGGACGCCTTGCCGACGACGTAGCCCTCGCCCTCCATCGCGGCGCCCAGATCCGGCACGGCATCGCAGCCGCGCCTCTCGCAACCTCATCCTCTCCCCCACCGCGCACGACCTTTGTTTCAGGTTTAGGACTCTACCTAATATTCAAGAGCGAAGCGTTTGTTTCATCTACTTTTTTATTACCAAAATACCCCCTCATTGTTATAAATTTTAGTCTCTTCCACTACATCCTTTCCCTATGCCTTCGTGGCTCCGTAGTCCCCAATTCCACTTCCGTCGTTCAAATCCAGCGAACCATGAGCAGTCCCACAACTTTTCTTTCCAAGAAAAAAATATTTCTGCAACTTTTTATTTTTGAAAAGTTATTAAGTTATACATATAACTTTTATGCATAATATTTTACTGGGTTATTAAGTTATTAAGTATATATTCCATACATCTAGACCTAAAAAATCATTTATTTCAATATATCTCTATGTTCCTCCTTTTCATTACCTATACATTACATATTTTATTTCTCCTCAAATTAAAAAGTCTAGACCTAAAAATCATCTATTAGGGTACCGAGGGAGTATGTACTCCATACGTCTATATATAAATTAATTCCTGAGTTGTCCTAAGTCAAATATTTTTAAATTTAACTAAATTTATAGAAAAAGCACCAAGATATATAGCATCAAATTGATATTATTAGATGCCCTATGAAATATATTTTCATAATTTGTTCATTTGATGTTATAAATATTATTGTATTCTTCTATAAATTTGATCAAACTAAAAAAAATATTGACTGGACCGTTGTCGGCATGCGCTATGGCCAGCGGGCTGGTCCAAGTCCGTGCCTGCCTAGGCCGGACGCGCCCCGTCCTCCGCGCGTGAGGATGACATGCTCTTCTACCTCTGCGCCAAGAGTGACCGATATGAAGGACGTGCGCGTGACGCTTGGGCAGCCCGCGAGGCGATCGGGTGACCAATCAAAAACGTGGTGGACGCCAGCCAGCGCTGCACCTATCCGAAACCAAGCGAAGTGGGCGAGCGCGCGGGACACGAGCAACACGCCAACAGCATGACGCGTGTGGGCATGGAGTCGAGCTGGCGGCGTGGTAGGGCATGGCCGGTGAGCCAAAGAGCGCACACGGAGGACAGCTGGACAACAGGGAGAGATATGCATGCAAAAGAAAAAGAAATGAGAGAATTCCTTATTTGACACCAGACAAATGATCCGTTCCTTTCTTGACCCTCAAAAAATTTCCGTTCCCTATTTGACATCGAGTTCAACTTTCGTTCCTTATACGACACTCCGTCGGGTTTGCCATCCGTGAACCGTTAACTGACATGTGGGCCCCACCACCCTTCTCCCCTTAACTGACATGTGGACACCAGACAAAACGACAGCGGCGCTTGGATGGGGCGCATCCGCGCATGGAGGTGGCGGCGTAGGCGCGCTCGTGCGGCCAGGGGCGTGTCCCATCCCCGCGGTGAGGAACTATCGTGGCAGCAAGGCGGCGACGGCGGCTCCAGGGCCGCACGGTGCCACCATGTCAAGCTTCTCCGACTCTCCGAGTGCTCCAGCTATGACGGGCTCTCGTCTCGAGCGTCGCCGCCGCCGCGAAGTCCGAGCCCACGCCGGAGAAGAAGGCTGCCAAGGAGGCCGGCGTCCCTCAGTGCGTGGCTCGCAGGTTCCTCGATGCCATCTTCAACGGCGAGGCTCGAGCCACCAACGCCGCCGTCGTCGTCGTCACGAAGGGCGAGTCCGCGTGCTCCACGGCGTCCTCCTACTCGCTGGCCAGTCATCCGAGAACTGGAGCGGCGGGAGGCAAGTTGGGCATCGTCGTTGTCACGGTGGGGGCGTGGATCGACTCTTGCGCCAACTTCAATCGCATTGGTGGGCAACCTCGCTTCAACATCCTCTCAAACACGATAACGCCTCAAATGGTTTCCGTCCTTCTTTGAGGGCGCCGATCACCAACACATAAGCATGTTGAGGTATCTCCTTCCCATTCCCTCTCTTCCATCTCTTGGAACAGTGCTATGCATTGTGGAAATGTGCCCTCGCAGTAATGGCGCCGCATGAGAGTGAGGTATGTCACCTTGTCTCGTGCGAGCTCTGCTGTTCCCTCATATCCACAAGCCGTGCCATCGCATCCTGCGTCCTCCCCGCGTGGCGCATACCCTTGATGAGAATGTTGTAGGAAAGCACGTCGGGGCGCACTTTTCGATCTTCCGTGGACATTGCGTTGAACACGTTGATGGCGATGTCAAGGAGGCCAGCGTTGACAAGGCCGTCCCAAAGAGTGATTGTAGGTGAGCCTAGATGGCTCAATGCCGGCGAGGCGCATGGCTCGCCACACCCACAGACTCCTCGGAGAGTCCGAACGTCGCGAGGTCAGCAGATCAACGAGACCGACGACGCCGCGGCGCGAGGTGCCTCGGACGGCGTCCCCGTGCATGCGCTGACTCTCGATGAGTCGCCGCGCTGGCCGGGCGACGTTAGCCGACGGTCTCCCTAGAGCGCGAAGGAGTGGAGGAGGAGAGACGTAGCGGTGAGGAGGTCTTTGCGGGTGCGCGAGAGAGGTCGGCGCCGTTAGGCGAGGAGCGGAAGAAGTGGAGCGGCACGGGAGCGGGCCGTGGGGTGAGCTGCGATGATGGACGCGCCCCCAGCCGCATGGCGCGCGCTTCTGCGCCACCACCTCCTGCGGGATCGCCCCTGTCCAAGCGTCGCCGTCGTTTTGTCTGGTGTCCACATGTCAGTTAAGGGGAGAAGGGTGGTGAGGCCCACATGTCAGTTAACGGTTCACGAAGGTAAACCCGACGGAATGTCGTATAAGGAACGAAAGTTGAACTCGGTGTCAAATAGGGAACGGAAATTTTTTAAGGGCCAAGAAAGGAACGGGTCATTTGTCTGGTGTCAAATAAGGAATTCTCTCAAAAGAAATAGAGGGAGGTTTATGTAATAAGCAAACATAAACGAAGAGTGCACATTATAATAAGTTTAAGAAACTAAACCTGGACTTTAAAAGATGTTGAATTTAGGTGATATGGGGCGAAAAGATAATGGATTTATGGCGCGTTTTGCTCTCCATTTATCTAGGGACACAAGGGAGTATATGGTAAAGAAGGAAGTCATATGGTGAAAAACTAATAATCGAATAAAGATCTTGTAGCCATAAGCTATGCACAAGCAACCGCTAATCACAAACTATCTTGGCCAAGCATTACTAGCACGAACTGGAAATGAATTTAAATTCTGTCATGATTCGTTATGAGCTGAGAGTGAAGCTTGGCTACATACCTCCTCTAGCGGCTACAGCTCAGTATCTCTACCACATATCTTTTCACTGATGTAAACTTCTCTAAAGTCATTCAAAACACTATCCACCACAGTCATGAACTTTTCTAAATGTACCTGAAAAAATGTACCAAGAAACAGGCCACCTTGAATGAAAACAAAAGGACGAGATTCACCTGACCACGACTTTCTCTCACTCACTCAAATCCAACGGTCGATGTTCTTTGGATCGAACCTTCATCACTCATCCTCTCCCCCACGCTTGACCGCTCCACCCCCACCTACGTGTGCAGGCGCTTGTTTGATTCCCGTCCCCCTCCTATTTTGTTGCTTTTTATACTGTGAGAGATGAGAGAAGAAAAAAAGGTTATTTAGATTGGTACCATTACAATTCTCAGAACTTTAAGATGTACCATTAAAATTCACCTATTTTGAGATTTACCATTATAATTCAATGTTTCACTGAGTTTTGCCATTTTTTACGTCTTCCAGCTGCTTGGGCCCACTAGCAGGCATATGCGTACTGTTCGCTTTTCTGTATGGACGCATTTGCCCCCGTCCCGAAGTTGAAAGAGCCCTGCGCCCGTGGCCCCATCTCTCAGTCTGTTCTCCTCACGCTCACTCTATCTCTCACTCTCTCGTCCTCCCGACGCGACGGCCGGTGGGAACCCTAACCCTAGCCGCCGGTGTCCTGGAGCCCGCGCCCACGCCCGAGTCAACTGCCGCCACCGCCCAACTCCATTGCCGCCCACGCCCGAGCTGTCCTCCCGGATCCCGGATGATTGGAGCCTCTCCAGCGACCTCACGATGGTGTTCCATTGAGCGCAATGGCTGACCCCGCGGACATGGAGCACGGCGAGGAGAGGTATGGATCTCCAACCTTCAATCTCTTGAGTCTGAGTAGCGATACAAGTAGGTTGAGGAATTGCGCTGACCCTAGTGTATTTTTTTGTGACTTGTTTGTTTGCTGCTAGGGTTCGATTGTTCTCCTTAGAGATTAAAGTTGAAGGTTTCTATACTACAGACAGTAATGGTAGGAAAGCTTACACGAAGTTAGTGTGATTAAATGGGATGTGGAGGTAGGATCATTCACTTTTGAGTTGCTGATGCAAAGCTTGACCAATCAGTTCAAATGGTCCCCTACCCAGAGTCCTTGTGTGTGGTTCTTTGACAAAATGATGTGTGAAGACGTCAGACTAGTTAATGACTTCCAGCTAAATGATGTGTTTGAAATGTATAAGGATAAGATGCATTGCCAAGTTGTTGTAGGAGTTTTTGAAAGAAAAGTTGCAGATGTTGATGAGTTTGCTACCCTAGAGCCTCTTTGTGTGATTCCTCCTATTGAGCATGAGAATCCTATTCCAGATCCCAATAGGCATGACAATCCTATTCTAGATCCTGTTGAGCAGCCTAATCCTCCTGTTAGCCCTGCTACCAAGCCTACTGCTGAACTAGATGAAGGACCAGAGTATCCTTTAGAGCCTAAACTAGAGCCTGATAGGGAGCTAGACATGTTTGATAATGAGGAGTATGTGGGTGTCAATGATGAGGGAATGTACATGCCAGTACCTCCACATCAGTACATTAACAATGCATAGGATGCTAACAGTTCTCACCCACAACCATGTGCTAATGCTGATGCAAATGATTCTGGTGCTGCTGAAGGAGGTGTTCCTCTTGAGGCAGAGATTGATGATGCAGATCCACAGGAGGTCCATGTGATTCATGATCTAGAAAACCCCAAGATTGTGAAAGGAGGGCTCTTTCCTGATATTGTTGCATTCAGGAAGGCAATTAAGCATCATGCAGTGAAGATAGGCTTTGAGTTTGCTAATCTGCAAACTGACCAGACTAGATTTATTGCCAAGTGTAAAGCAGAGGGATGTCCTTGCCGTATACATACTTCTAGAAATTCTTATGGCAAGACAATAGAGGTAAATTTATCATTACTGTTGGAGTTGTTTGTTTATTAAATTTGTTATTTATGCAACTAATGTCCTATTGCATTTGTTTGTGTAGATAAAAAGCTACCTTTTGAACACAGCTGTCCTACCACAAAACTCAGAGAAGGGAAGATGGCCACCTAAGGATGGTGTGTAGATAGGTTGGCAGACTGGCTGAAGAAGAATCCAACCAAAGGTGCAACTGACTGTAGGGATAAATTGGAGGGTGACTATGGCATTAAGTTGAAATACTCCAAGGCATGGTTAGGTATGAATGTAGCTTTAGAGCAGATCCATGGTAAATATGAGGAGAGTTTTTAGTTGCTTTTTAATTGGGCTGCTCAAATTAAGAAAGTATCCCCTGGTAGCTTAGTAGAGATAGAGTTAGAGAAGATTGGCACCAAAAATAGATTTAAGAGGATGTTGGTTGCTCTTAGACCATGTGTGGATGGATTCTTATCTGGTTGCAGACCTTTTATTGGGGTAGATGCTTCCTGTTTGCATGGTAAATACATGGGTCAGATAGCTTCAGCTACTAGTGTGGATGGACATAATTGGTTGTACCATATAGCTTATGCAATTTTTGAGTCAGAAACTGAAGATAATTGGAAATGGTTTCTGTAGCAGCTGCATAAGGTTGTAGGAGATGTTCCAAATCTGGTTATATGTACAGATGCATGTAAAGGACTAGAGACTGCAGTGGGGTCTGTGTTCCCACAAACTGAAAACAGGGAGTGCATGAGGCATTTTGTATCAGAATTTTTTGAATAAGTATTCTGGTGAGGTGTTCACGGATCACTTGTACCCTACAGCTAGAAGCTACACACAAGGGCTGTTTCAGTGGCACATGAAGAAAATTTTTGAGTTTGCACCTAAAGCCATTGAGTACCTTGAGGAGCACCACAAAAGGATCTGGTACAGGTGTGCATTTTCAGAAAACAACAAGTGTGACTACTTAACAAATAATGTTTCAGAGAGCTTCAATGCACAAATAAAGAAGTTCAAAGGTCTGCTACTGCATGAATTAGTTGACAGAATCAGAGAGCTGGTCATGGAGAAGAGATACACTAGGAAGATGCTTGCTAGGCAGTGGATAGATAGAATACTCCCAAATGTGATGAAGGAGCTCAACTTGATTAGCAATAACCTCAAAGTGGTCAAGGTATCAGTTAGTGATGTTGATATTGTAGAAGTGACCATCTTGGATGAGTGAAACAATCAGAAAAGACAAACAGTTGACTTGCAGAACCATAAATGCTCCTACAGGGAGTGGCAGTTGATAGGGAAGCCCTGTAAACATGCTTTGGCATGGATCCTGTCCAACAGAGGGGTGAAAATTGAAGATTTTGTCCATGAGTATTACTCAGTGGCTAGGTTCAAGGCAACCTATAAGGACAGAATTGAATCTATCCTAGATAGGTCACAATGGCCTATTGTGGAACTTGGATTCAAAGTGTATCCACCGTTGCTAGGCAGAGGAGTAGGAAGACCAAAGGTTCAAAGGCAAAGAGGTTGCTTGGAGAAAAGGGCATCCAAAAAGAAGGTCAAATGTAGGAGATGTGGAGATTTTGGCCACTTTTCAAAAACTTGCAAACATACAGAGATTGGAGAAGATGGTGAGAGAGCTCCACCAAGGAACAAGGCTAACAAAAGGTATGTTTCTGTGCACTAAATTTGTCTCATTGTTTTTCACTTCACAATATGTAATGTCACCTTTAAAATATAGGAAAGAAGCTCCAATAGATGCAGCTAGTCCCTCCCAAGCCAAGAAACAGAAAGTTTAGAAGAAGAAGAAGAAGGGCACACCAAAGAAGAAGAAGACACCCATCAAGAAGAAGCTCAAGAAGGCTACAGCCGACCCACCTACTACTGTTGTTAGTAGCCTTAGGAGGCTAGTCTATGAAGACTAGAGCTTGTCAGTAGCTTATGATATGCTTTTGTAATAAAAAGAGAACTTGTATGCTGCTACTGGTATGCTTTTGTAAGATCAGCAGCTGAACC